ACTACGTTTTAGACAAGATACTAACTCTGCAGCCTGCAATGACAACAAACTACATGAAAAAAATTAAATAAAAGGATTTTCAGGAAGTAAATCAATAAACACGTCTATATAAATGAAGTTTACCCGATTAAGAGTACTACCAAGTCTTGGCTTTACAACACCATAGCCGAGTGATACGATAATGATCAATACACGCGCCATACTACGTTTTAGACAAGATACTAACTCTGCAGCCTGCAATGACAACAATAAATATTTGTGGCATTTTAATATACTGAATGGAATACCTTCAAAAAATACATCAAAGATTTGAAAGTCAAGACAAAAAAAAAGAACGAGACCAGCAATTTAAAAAGATATCAACACAACGTTACTTCAATAAAACCATGTGCAGTAATGCCTTCGTCATTCATTGTTGCATATTCTGAATAAAACATTCCTTTCTCAATCATTCCCGCAACAATTACAGCTCCTAAATTTAATTAACTTTAAAATTATGCATTTGACAACAAATTTCGAGATTTAAAGAATTAAAAATGATACTATGACGAAACTAGAAGTTAGAAAAATGTTTACCTATACAAAATTGTATCCTTAAAATATCCATCCAGTAACATAAACAACAAACTAACCTAAAAAATTGACAAACCATTCTATAAAAGGAAAAACAAATGAATGAAGTACATTAACAAAAGGAAATATCGTAAAAGCATTAAAGGACTGTGAAATGCGAGCTGTTAAGTTACATTACAAACAAACATCCTAAAGTAAAGCCAGTTTCAAGTTCTTCTAGCAATACTTCAAAATTGATATAGAACCATTATTTCTCCATAACTTGGCTCCTTACTTAATAATACATTGATGCAAAAGGCAAATATAAATGTAAGAAAACGAAGTAGGCTCACCAAACTATAGCTAAAATCGCGTAGAAAAACCACATGAAACCATAAAATCTGAGCAGTGGATAATCGATTGCACTCAGATACCCGTAAGGACTACGCCACTGCACGTCAACGGTTAAATTATGAACAGATGGCACTGAAGGTGCATGATAAGTAGTAATCTGGGCGGTCTGATTACAGCAAATCGGACTTTATAACAATACAATGAAAGCTAAATCAAGAAACTAAGAAGTTCGAAATGACAACTTTACCAACTACTTTGGTCCAATTCATTTCTTGAACAATGATATGAGTGCAAAATCTTATGACAAACAATGTGAAAATTTTAAGAAATTCAAAAGAAATGTTTACAGAGCTCTGCCATAATATATTTAAAACAAACCTTTCATATTTTTCTCCTGGGAATTATATTTCACAATTTTTAATTTAATTACCAAAAAGTATATACCATCTGCCGGAAGTTTTTGTATTGGATGCCAAGAACTGGAACCATTAAATGCAGAGAAATCTTTCTGATGAAATGAAGTATTGTTATTTGTGACAACACGATAAAAAAAACACTGATTCCATGAATAACTATTTTTATGGTATTATGTGAATATTTCTTCAAGCACATTCAGCAAATTTAGAAGTGCCCAAATCTGCTACAAATTAAGAGAAAGAGAAAGAAGGAATTACCTCAGAGTTTTTTTCGCACCACCATCTAATGAGTCATCATTTAAACCAGCAAATTCACGTTTAACTCTAGTCTCTGCTTTTTGCAAATGTTGATTAAATATTTCCGAATCCAGTTCAGCATCAGATGCATTCTGAAAATTTAGAATTAGTCTCGAAATATATAATAACATTTAGACAAACAAGTGAAGGATAAACATTTCACTTCCTCATCACCGTAAATTTATGCAGTGATAAATATATATGAATCATAACTGAGAATATTATATGAATGATAATAATCCAAGTTATACGCAAAATGCGTCAATTTTTACTTGCTTGACATTATGTAGTTGCAGAGGTCGACGTGGACGTTCATCTTCCACAAGTACTATACCATGTGATTCGCGACAATTAAATTGCTGCACTTGCGATTTATAAAACAAAATATTGTCATAATTATATTCCGGTGGTATTTCCCACTCACGTTCAAAATAAAAACTCTGAAATTAAAACAAGAGTTCATATGACTGGAATATGATTAAAGGTAATCAAAAAATTAATAAACTACATCAATATAATCATCTTTAAAAAAACATAAGAAAGATTGTTCCTTAAGATAATTTAAATTTATGAAAACCAATAATCTTGAATTTACCAATAAATCTTGAACTTTAGAATGGCGAGTGGCATCAAAAAACTCCTTATCACAGGGAGAACTTCTTATTACATACTGCACTTGAAATGTTAAATCCGAATCATCAGAGCACTGAAGCCGTATTTCTACTTCAGTACCATTCAATACCGATTGAGGAAAACCAACAAACTCAATCTAAAATAGGAATAAAAATCATAATGAAAAAACGGTGGTTTGGTATAAGCCATGAAAAGACAAAGCAAATTTAGGATAATTAAGAGCAATAATTTCAAACTCTACCATGTCAGATTTAAGCTGCAGTTTTGTAGATAAAATAGCAGGAGCTAGTAAGTGTGTTAAGCATTTGATATTTAAGTTGATACTAAAAATAAACCACCAAAACAGTTTGATTTCAAATTCATTCATACTTCTCGATTCAAAATCGAAAAAATTGACACCAACGACAGCGATGTTAATAAAAAATTGATAAAGCCAGAAAATGAAACTTCATTTTAGGCAACTGAATTACTGCGATCATTATTCAATTGCTGATTCAATGACACGATAATAACATATGAAACCATTCTCACTCGTTATTTTTGCTGTAAATCTAAAAGTGATAGAGTAAATACTTTGGATTCTAGTTTTCCAACAAAATATTCATATTAAAATTATATGCAAAAGGTAGTACAGTCAATATACACCTAAAACTTTCCAATTTCCTGGTATAAATCAAATTTCTCTGTATAGTACAGTAGAAAACAGAAAAACAATGCAGCAAGTCAGTGGCGATAACTGTCTAAAATTGAAAGTCTAAACAAAGTCACACTGCTGAAATGTGAGCTCCGATTCTTAAATCTGCCAAGATCAAGATTATGGGAACAAGTGAAGAGAATGAAAAAAGTGCTCCCAGCAATTAGTAGTGCAAATCATGCAGTACTTAATTCATAGAGAAGATGCAAATAAATAAAAATTCAGGAAGATATGACAAGTAATGGATTTACTACTCTAAATTTAAATTAATTTAATTAAAACTGATAAGCACCGAATATTCCCAGAATGTGCTCTTCAAGTTTACACGGTTGCTTGCTGAAAACTCTCTTTCTCAAAGAGATATTATGCAGCACAGGTGCTTCTAGAGTACCTTACAGTACGATATTCTCTTCAATTTGTTAGTCATTCAGAAAGAAATGAGTTTGTTAACACTTTTCGAGCACCTATTTGCTCATGAATGAATAACACGCCACAAGCTCATTTATTACGCAGTTCTTCAACTTCGCTAACTGTGAGTCACGTAAATGACAGAAGCATCTCAATTTGCCGAGCAAACCTTACACAAACAATAAATATTGTGAATATTCTGGCAGTATAAAACTTATACTGCCACAGTATTGACAATATTTATTGCTCGTGTAATTCTGCTACAAACAGTAAACACCCTACAATAAACAAATCATATACAGACCTCTTGAAGTGAAGTGATAATTCCCAGCAAATAATACTGCCACAATATTCAAATTTTCCGGAAACTAAACATGAAAAGTCTAACCGTATTTATATGCATACACAGCACAACAGTATGTGCACGCGATGTCATTCAAGAAATTAAGCTCTGCACACGTATCAGCAGCAATAATGCGAGAAAGCTGAACAAAATAATTGGAAAAAAAGAAATGCTCTGCATTAACGAAGTATGCAGGCAAGCAAGAAGTGATACACTGTACTTGAATCACAATAAAAGCAATAATAACGCAACATGAACTGAAGAGTAAGGGTTCCAGGTGCACTAAAATAGGGAAGTGCGGTCTAGATGAGCATCGGCTGCGGAATTACAGCTAAGAACCACGGAGTTTCATCATTCTAATTCACCTTTCCTTTCTGATCATAGCTACAAATTTTCAAACATCTTTCTCTCTTCTTAAATTTGATCCTGACTTGATCAATTACAATACAGTTTCAATTTTCTGAATTTTGAAACACAAAAAACTAGAATGCAATAAATACAATAAGTAGTTAAGCGACGCGATCTCACAGATCAATAGCAAAAGGTTAATGTAAGAATCAAATTGTAAAGCTCTATAAACATTAGAACCGGACCTCATGAACTAATAATTTTTTTAAATTAATTAATATTTAAATTGCATGAAGCATCTTAATTTCCCACAGTTTCTCTTCCAGTTATAACATGTAATGAAGTCGACTTTCTTACAATATTTTCCAATATCTAAAACTGTTGAAAATCATGTTTAACGAATGATGCATAAAGGTAATGACATTTCGTACATAACGAATATTATAAGATATCACACCGTTTTTTCTTGCGTGGTTTATCACGGAGAATCACATCACCACCACCTATGCTTCCTTTCAGCGTGCCACCTTTCCGCCGTTTGATTTCCCGCATTAAATCATAAAATACCTGAAATTCAAATTGTTGAGAGAAATAAAACTCGAAATTATTCCTCATTAAAAAATTCACTTGTTTAATTTTCATTAATTAGTAAGCAAAAATTGAGACAAAATAACATAAAACTGTGGTAACCATAAGAGATTCTTACTGAGACCTACGCCTACTTTTTACCCTGATAAATTAACAGAATCTCAATTTTAAACGTTGCTCCATCCAATTAAGAAGAAAATTAAGAAGAAGAAAATTCAGAAAAACTTGATGTCATATATTAAAACGTGCCATTTTTTAGTATTTAACGTTTCAAATTTTAAGATCAAAAAGAGAAAAAAACTGAATTTCAGCCACAGATAAAAATGAATTGCGTCTCAAATTGTTTGGAAATTGGCTGCAGTGGCCTCGGTGAGGGTGAAAATAAATACTTGAACTGAGCAATTTAATCACCTTTGTTAGAAGCAATTTTCTGAACATCTAGTCAGGAAATAGGAATTATGAAAAATGACTACTGGAAAAGAGAACAACAGTTAAATTGAAACAGATGAACAGTAACTGCAATAAAAAATGCACTGAGAGAAGTCTAAAGTTCATTCAAATGTCTAATATTGATTCACGATACCAGTATTTTTAGATTTTAAGTCAATAATTTATCACAGTAACGATGAACTCATTTGGTATGGAAATCAATTATCATTTGTAACTATTTCTTCAATAATTGAAACTGCTGTCATCAGATAAGTTGTTCCGACAACAACGGAGGATTTCAGCACTAAAAAATATTCAGTTGATGTAACTGCGAATTACTTTGTCAACGTTAGTCCTATTTTTAGCTGATGTTTCTATATATGGCACGTTCCACTGCTCAGCTCTTTGCTGTGCCTGTATCTGTAATACCGACCGTTCAGCCGTCAAATCTGATTTGTTTCCAACGAGCATTATTGGAATACATGAATCTATGGCAGAGTTTTTCACCCGCAAAATTTGCTCTCTGCAAAAAGAAACAAGTTCTACAGCTAACATACAATTACATCACTTTATTTTTGCTTTGTAATAGTTAATTTCAGTTTAAATCAGAACTAATATTATCACATCAGAGATAATAATAATAATAATTATTATTATTATTATTTTTTCACCACTACAAATATTTAAGTAAAAACAAAGATTTGGAAAATACTGTAATTGATATTCATTTTTAAACAATGAATAATCAACCTGAATTCATTGGTTGCATCGAAAGATTCACTATCCGTAATTGAAAACACACAAATAAATCCTTCACCACTTCGATAATAATTATCTCTCCAAACAAACAGATATTAATTCATACACAGAATTACTGTAAACTTCTAAATGTAACAAATACATTCTGATCAATTCTATATTTTTAAGTTACAGTAAATGCTAGAAACGGTTGTTCATTCAATTCTAATACTGTTTAAACTTAAATAAGTATTCACCTGATGGCAGAGTAATCTTCTTGCCCCGCAGTATCTAGAATATCTATCAAACATTCCTCACCATCAAGCACAACTTTCTTCCGATATGAATCCGCCTTTGTTGGTTCGTACTCCTCCACAAACTACAACAGTCATTATAATGAAAATTCAATTCAGCACGTGTATAAATTGGAATAATACTACGGAACATCTTAATAACTTTTTACAATATTCTTTATATCACAATTAACAAACTAAGTTTACAAGGATACCATATCCTTACTAATACAGTTCAATGCAATAACTGAAAAAAATTCATTTTCATAGTATACTGTTTCCAAATTTTTTGTATTCATAATCGTAGTATATAGTTTTCTGCAATCAATGGGCATTTTTCACTTAGAACGTTAATACATCGTCTCTAGAAAATAGATAAAAATTATTTCGAGATGTCCAATCTTTTTAACAGTAAACTGTGGCTTATTCCTTAAAAAATTTCGAGGTTTAGCAGAAAATTTTAACAAAAACGAATACATATTTTGTAGTACAATGCATAGCAATGTACAGAACAGCGAAGACACCTTTTTCACTACAGAAATTTGAAGTTCTGGTTTTACAGATGCACCACTGCTATTATACATTAAGGATTCTAAAGGCTACATATAGCTAATTTTCACTTTACGACATAGAAATCAAAAAAGCTAAGTTGAGAGGAATAGTCACTGATTTGTCTTCTTTTTATTAAAAAAATCAAGCCAGCGTTCTAGTTACTTTACATTGAAATGATACTTTAATAATAAATAAATATCGTTGGAGTGTTTGAGATAGAAAAACCATTTTGGCTACTCTTTACCAAATAATTACAATATTGAATTGTCTTCAATCACTGTTTCTTTGTACTCTTAATATTGTAATTGTTTCACTTCACATAAATAAAGCAAATTAAATTATCCGAGATGAAAAATTATAATACCAACTTAAATAAAGCAAAAATTTTTTACTTAACTTGCTTTTAATGTCGATAAACTCGCACAATTCCACTCAATAACTATTAACTGTTCGATATATCATGTACTGAATATATCATTAATATTATTCTGAATAGACTAAACAATTTATACGAAAATTTTTCAAAAACTAAAAAAATTTTTAGTTTTTGAGAAATTTTCGAAAAAGAGTGAGCAGGAGTTAGTGTCCCGTACAATAATTATGACCCACAAATAATTCATTGAGCACTCGTACAGTATACAAACTAATATAAAATATGGCACCGGAAAGAAGTTATTCATGCCTTTCTAATCGTTTACTCCATTTTCATTACTACTTTCATGTTCTTTTTCTTCTCACATTCTTGCTTCTTGCTGTGACTTTGGAAGTTATTTTAAATAACAAATATATATCCACAGCATTCCAGCATTACTAGGAAACGAACTTACAGAACTAATTGCTTTTACAAAAAATGAGAGTTAATTATCACAAAACATATGTTCTTTTCCTTTTCATGACTATTACATTCTGCACAGATATCATTATGTATTTCATGACTATTACATTCTGCACAGATATCATTATGTAAATTTCCAACAGCCTTTTTCAAGCTTAACTGTTACAAAAGTTATGAAAACTGTTATATTATTGATGAATACGACAATAAAATTACAGGTAATAAATAGTGATAACCATCAAAACGGAGAATGATCTTTCATCTAAACTGCATTTTAAGAGTTAATTTTAAAATATTAATATTTTGTGGTAGCTAAGGAAACTTTTTATTAAACAGATGCAGCTAAAAAGATATGGATTTTCACCAGAAGTTAAAAAATTGACCTCATCGTACATAAACTGCAAAGTTAATGCTGATTTTCCAACTCCACCTGTGCCAACCATTATCACCTGAAACTAATTTCATCAATATTTGAGTTGGCATTAAAAATTTGCTAATTACACAACACTTTAATTACCTAAAACACTCTTGTACATTTGGCCACGTTCTTAATCGTGGAAAACAAATACAATCATAAGAAACGGAAAATGTGAGAGTATGAATGTTACAAATAATGCTGAAATTATATAGCAGCAAATTCTTTTCCCATATCATTTAGCTTCAAGCAAAGATGTGATTATCTCAAAAAAGAACGCATATATTGTTTCCTTTCCAATTAAATACCAAAAGCAAATTAATTTCAATAATAATAATGTAGTGTAGATAAATAAAGTATACAAATGTATAGAGAAAGCAATTGCTTGATTTGCTGACAAGATGAAAAACGTTATGCAACAAACCTTATGTACTTGCGTTGCAGTAGCGGAAGAGCCAGCACCAGTAGATGTCTTCTTGATGTTGTCGGCCATTGGTGTGGTCAGATCACCAGGTCTCAACTCAGCAATCACTGCGGCAGTCGTACCAACGCCACGTTCGATGTCAGACTTGTTGCGAACAGTTCTACAAGGCGACCATAAGCCACAGAAATTAAGTAAATTCATAGCAAACCAAGCAAGCCACGAGCACATGCTCTGGCAATGATCTCGAGTCCAACGCCAGTAAAAGAGTGCATTATTTGGCAACTTATGCATACTGCTTGCCAGTAAATGAAGTAATTGAAAAGTAATGCAATCAGAACAGTTAATCAGCTTATGATAATAATAAATAGAGAGATAGGTTAGTCGACTGTAGCAACTTGAAACTTTTCTAGCAGTGACAGAAGACACGTAAAATACTTCAAATTATCTATTTATTCACGTATGTTATTATAGAGCTCGCAGTTCCCTACGCACGTTCACGGCACTTCCTTCACGTAATGAAAAACAACATCTAACTCTCTCAGTACACGTGCCTATGTGTGCAAAAGATAATTTGTTTGGTCACTTTTTCTAGTACACATGAAATAAACAAATAAATAGTACTGCTATAGTAGAGAGATGCGAGCAGTAACACCGTCCCCGTACTCTTCTCTCTCAATCATTGCAAATGTTTCCTCCTCGTCTCTCGTCTATCTTCAGGTTTTAGTAAGAGTACAGGCATACATAGACAAACACACATACATACCACTCATTTACAATGAGTAGCGTAACTACATCCAGATCACGTTACCGTCACTCATCACGGCCTTGCAGTGATCACTAAACGTAGTGTCAGAGGAGATATGTGTGGTGTAATGTAGTGTTGTTGTTATCCTCTTACTCTGCTTAAAATCTGGACTGAATGGCGTAGAAGAGAAAGTTGTTTGCCGGGCGCAGTAGTCTTGTTTAGCAATTATTAGTGGTTTGTTTGCCAGCGCACAGCACCTCATTCCTCTTCACACAAAGCCCATATTCAACACAGAAATTATTTTTCCCCTATGCAATCATTCACATTTACACAATGAAATAGCAGCACGAGACTGCTACTGCTGCTCAAGGCATGCATTTTTATACCATACGAAGTGCTACTGTGAATAACTGAATGTTCGCAAGAAGTGAATTCCAGCAACATTCCTCTCCTTCATATAACCTCAGCATATGTATCAAACAAACTTCCACTATTCATTCTCTCACAAATAACTCATGAATGAAACGTTGATTCAGGTGATAACTGCGTAAGGAGAGCGACTCAGCAAAGTACAAGAAATTACAGTTCGTTTTATTGAAGCAAGCTGCTAGCCTTCTGCTCCACATAATCTTGATCTTATTAGGAAAGTAAGAGCATTTATGCCTGTACTTCTTTAATTATTTAACTTATTGCTTTCATACACTACGTATTAATTAATTGCGCATCTCAGTGAAAGAACAGAGAAAGAAAAAACAATCATCACCGTCAATAATTTAAATCTCGAAAATCTTCTACGAAACTTGCCCTCTGTATCATTGCTTATAAAGGACAAGCAAATTTTAAGGCTATTTTCATTCACAAATAATTGATAGCAATGAAGCAAGGAATGTAAGAGTGTGAGTTTAACAACATCAGTTTAAATGTAAATGTAAATGTAAATGTAAAGCTACTGCCAATAGCTAAATTAAGCGTAGCTCTTATTGTTTGCGAAAAAAAGAAAAACAGGAAGTATTTATACAAATTAGCTTTGCCTTACTGAATACTAATTGTCAAGCAAAGTGAGTGAAAAATTGACACTTACAT